AAGCCCCTAAACCCCTGAACCCTTACCCGAACATTATCCCCTATATATCCTTGGTCTGTGAAGTGCAACATTGCCCCCGGGACCTTTCGCTCCCTTTGGCGAGGCGTCCTCACAGCGCTCCGAGGGAAGCGGTTTAAGGTTTAAGGTTAAGGGGTTTGGGGTCTAAGGGTTGATGGGCTCAGGGGTTAGGCAGGGTGTTGGCTGAGTTTAGGTTTTGGGCATTTGGGGTTTGGAATCTCAAGTCCCAGCATTCAACAGCAAGGGCGAAATAGTATCAGCGAAGAGAGGAAACAAATTTGAAGGGTCAGGGCGAAATAGTCTAACCGTAAAAGCGGAGAAGTTGAAGCGTAAGGACGGAATAGTTAAACCGAAAAAACGGAGAAGGGTAAGGGCGAAATAGTCTTTGAAGGGTAAGGGCGAGATAGTCTGACCGTAAAAGCGGAGAGTTTGACGGGTAAGGGCGGACTAGTCTAACCGTAAAAACGGGGAATTTGAAGGGTAAGGGCGAAATAGTCTAACCGTCAAAGCGGAGAGTTTGACGAGTTGGGGCAGATTAGTCTAACCGTAAAAACGGGGAATTTGAAGGGTAAGGGCGAAATAGTCAAACCATTAAAAGCGGACAGTTTGACGGGTAAGGGCGGACTAGTCTAACCGTAAAAACGGGGAATTTGAAGGGTAAGGGCGAAATAGTCTAACCATGAAAGCCGAGAATTTGACGGCTAAGGGCGGAATACTCTAACGGTAAAAACGGAGATTTGTAGGGTTTAGGGTTTAGGGGTTTAGGTTCAAGGTAAGGGTTTAGGGGCTATACATAAATGTGGGGTACTTTTTGGGGTACCTATAATGGGGATTATCATATTCTTGGGGTCTACATTGGGGCCCTCTCACTTATCAAAGACTACCCTACCTTCCTTGGCGTTCTTTAGAGTTAAGATCTTTTTGGGTAAAAGGACGGGTCCATCATCTCTGAGAAGGCTCCCAAACGTCCTGCAAACAGTCCCAGCTAGACTCTGTAGTTTCTATAAACAGGACTAACCCAGAAGGGTGTTAGACTAGGAAGAACGGAAAATACAGGATATGTATGGTAGTTTCCGAAAATACGGGCACCCCAATACAGACCCCAAAATGCTAGAATCCTTATTCTAGGGACCCCCCCAAAGACTATAAGAAAATAGCCAATAATTCCTAAGGAGACTCCAGATTTGGAGCAACCCCCACCTCTTCTTGTGTCTGTGTCTCCGTCCACGGCCGCTTCCAGCCACGTTTCCGCTTCCAGCCTTTAGCGCTGAGCTCAGGCGGGAGAAGCTGGGGAATGGTAGTAGGGATATAGAAGGAGATATAAGGTAATGGAAAAGATGATGGAAGCTACTATTTAGGATTTAGAAGGTTTAGGGCGATTGAACCAACTATGAAAAGTCTGATGGAAAAAGAAAATCGAACATGCAGTGGACACTGGGAATTTAGCTAACCCCATACCCCGCCACTGTTTAGGGGTAGCTAACTTCATGTCAAGAATCTTGTATCTACAAAATGAGATACCCTTCAGAAAAGGCGTAGGGTATAGGGGTCTATGTAGGTAAACCCTAAACTTACCCTAAATCCTAAAGAGCCTTAAGCCCTTCAGGAAGCAGGAGTTGCAGCTAAGCCCAGAATGGGGCTCAGGCATGGGGCAGACACCTGACAGTGCTGGGTCACCAATGCCCTCATCACTGGGTTGCTAAGGAACTTACAGTACGTTACCATCATATGGGTATACAAGGTTTAGAGTCTAGGGCTTAAGTTACCGTAGCATGGGTATATGATAGCTGATGGGATTTTCTTATTACAGCAACTTGATTTAAGTTTCTCAGTAGCAACCCACACTAGGCTGCCAGACAACGAAACACCCATTCCTGCCTGCGGTCGTCCCGTTGTGTTAACGTGGACGTTGAAGCAAATCCTCATTTGACACTGGTAGCCAGAGCCAAAACCCCAAACCCTAAACCCTAAACCCCAAACCGTAAACCCTAAACCCTAAACCCCAAACCCTAAACTCCAAACCCCAAACCCTAAACCAGTTGAGGCAAATCCACACAGGCTGAACAGCCATTATAGCTGCTGAGCTCTTGGCTCATCGCCGAGCTGCAGACCACACTGTTGCATGACCTTGGCTATAATAATAATAGCAATAGTAATAGCAATAGTAATAAAAATACGAATGGTAATAGTAATAGTAGTAGAAATAATGATAGCCTTGGCTAGCTTAGGAACCACCAGTTTTCAGTCAAAGTTCCCCACAAAAGCTTCAGTCTCCACAGATTGCCCATTTGCTGCACTTGGCCCGTAGCTGAACTGTGCACGTAAGCATCTTGGTCATACAAATCCTGCTGTGACAGTGGCACTGCTGACAAAAACATGCGTACTTCGGAAGAAAGCAATGAAGTATGGCCTAAAACACAGATCACAGTAACATGAATGCAACGAAGCAAAAGCATGACAGTACTGACTTGGAACATGATGCCAAAGCCGAAGGGATCCAGGTATACAAATAATACTTACACTGGGCACTAAAATCTAAGTATTACCCACATGAGCTATAACCTAATCTCCTAGTACTCCCCTTTCTTAGCTCTATAATGGTCCCCTATATAAGCACCTTTTCGGGAGTTTAGGCTACAGCTCACATTGGGCGATTTGGATCCCTACCCTAAACCCTAAACCCTAAAAACCCTAAACCGTTAAACCCAAAACCCTGGAACCCGTAACCCTAAAACCCTAAACCCTAAACCCCTAAACCCTTTTTGCATCCAGCCTGCAGCGCCCTAAACCCTAAAACCCTAAACCTTAAAGTTCCCTAAAGGGCTCCTTGATCTCCTGGCACTGGATAAAAGCGCAGCCGCTTGTTAGCACCTTGCTGACCTCGCTTTGACTAGGGCTTAGGGTTGTTAGGGATTAGGGTTTAGGATTTAGGCAGCAGCGTTCAACACTCAGCCAGCAGTCCTAGACTTGGCCTAAACCCTACACCCTAAGGAAAGCAAGAAGTATGAAGAACATTCCTGGATATCTCGAAATAGTAGAAGCTACATGGCTTGCTTCAGGAATCCCAGCCAGCTCTCTAGGATTAGTCATAACCCGTAACATGACTCCGGTATAACGGTATAATCTTTAAGTCTGATATAGATAAGTTGCCCAAATTCTAGATTCTAGATTCTAACAGAAAAGGATGCCGCTCACAAAGCTGCCAGCCTGGCCCACAAACTCTCCAAATCCAGGGTCCTCACAAGTGGGTTTCCGGAAACTTAATTATGGGGTTCCTTTTTGGAGTCCCCATAGTAAGGACTATGTTATTTTGGGGTCTATATTGGGGTCCCCCAATTTTGGGCAATTGTCACAACTGTTTTCGCGATAACTCCCCAATAAAGCTGTGGGTGACACTCACTTGGTTTATTGTGCTTAGGGGCTAGGAACGGGATTCTTCTTACTCTCGGGGGGTACATAGAAATACATGGGCTGTTATCAGAAGTGCAGGCCCCTTTTGGTTATAGACTATACTACGGCGCCTCAAATTTAGGTGTAACAAATGGCATCCTGATTTTGTGAATTCCCCATATATTGAGTTTACCAACTGACCTGCTGTATTGGTTGCCTCTCGTTTCATCTTCGTCGTTGTCGCTACTCTGCTGATCGTCCTCCCGCGACTGCTTCTTGATCCTAAGCTGCTGAGCTCCAAGGGGCCCAACCCCCAACTTTCCACACTTATATGGGGATGTCCCAATATTAGGGGAACCATTTTGGGGGTCCCAATAATAAGGACTGTAGTATAAAGAACAACTAGATGATAACTGCCGAAGCAGACGGCCTTTCTGACCAAGGCTTGCGCATTGGAAAAATATTGGGGTCCCCGTATTTTGGGAAACTACCATATCTCTCGAAACTTGTTGCTCTGGGTATGGCTTAGCCTACTGGCAGTGAGACTTGGCCTCCACTGGAGCCTACATGCCTAAAGCCGCAAGCCCTAATTCCCAAGTAAACTCTTAACCCCTAACCACTAACCTAAAAGTAGGTAGAATACTGGACCAAAACCCATAAAAGGCCATTATCCTACATGAACTATAGTCTAAACCTCTTAAAGGGGGTTATATTATAGGGGAGTATTGTCAGGGTTCTTAAGGGGGATGCTAAGAGTTTAGACTATGGCTGACATACTTTAGGGCCTTTAGGGGGTCCAGGTACAACCGTCAGGCCCTCGCCAATGAAACCGTCCTTGCCCTGGCAGAAGCCCATCATCTCCCAATCAGCGTCCTCAGCGCACATAAAAGCTACTCTTGACAAGTGGTACTTTCCTCTCCTGGGAAATGCATATATAGGAAGAGTAGAGGAATAATTTTGGAGGTCCTTGCAGTTGCTTGTCCCTTCCTGGTACTCCTTTGAAGAAGGACATGGTACTTGTGGGATTTAAAGGGGTCTCAGCTGCGGAGAAATTAATGCCACTAAACGCTGCCAACACACTCCGCATGATTCCTCTACATGCCTCGTAGAATCCCGATCATTATCAGTAGAAAGGTGCTCTTTCCACGAAATGTCGGTCAATCGACGTCAACAGTATTGGCGCTGTTCTTCTTCCTGTTGATAATTATTGCTGCTAGTCGTATGAGGATGTCAAGCATTAGCCACTACAATTATCAGTATTATGACCCGTGATAGTATTGGTCAGTATTGCCGTCAATGCTTGCGCGGTTGGATCTTACATATTCTCAGGATTTCAACCGAAGCAAAGGCAAGTGTCTGAGGTCCCGTCTCCAAACCCTAAACCCTGAACCCTGAACCCTAGACCCTCAGCCAAAGCAAGGGCACGTTCCTGAGGTCCCGTCTTCATTCATGGCGGTCACATCGGTTTGGGATGCCCTTACCCCATTTGAGCCTATGGTATCTGCCCATCTGACGTTTTACAACATGTTCAGGGCTTAGGGTTTACAATGGTTTAGGGTTTGCAATACATGCTGTTGGTGTGGGATCCCATGTTGCCGGTGGCACTCATGCCCGGATTTGCAGCAGGTCATGTCAACTTTGTCATGCTCTGGGGCTTCCAAATGCTGATTTTTCGGGGCCAAAACTGGATCAAACAATTCGAATTTTCCACAGATCATCCTAGAAGTGGGGAGAACGCCAGTGCGCCAAACTCGCCATGAATCATCACAGGCTCTTCCCAACGCCAACGGAGGAAACTACTATAGTATATTGGGGTTATATGGGGGTTATACAGGGGTTTATATTGGGGTTATACCCTAGCCCCTAAACCCTAAACCCCCAAACAGTGTGTTGGCTACCTTTTCCAACCGCCCATTTGCCTTTCGCGCAGAACTTCTGCTGGTCATTCCAGAAACGACGTGGCGAGTCATCTCAAGTTCGGGCCCTTTTTTAGGTCATGGCTACGCTTCAGCTACTGCTCTTGTAACGAGGGAGCGGATCTCTAGAACTCTCCTTACACAATCCCCACACATATCCCTATACCCTTTTTGCAACAGGCTTCTGAGGGCTCCGCCTTGAAGTGTCCCTATACCCTAAACCCCTAAACCCTAAATCCCTACACTTATAGTACCTCTATCCACTCCCTAATTCAAGGGAGACCAGGCCGAACTTTGAAGACAACTACTCAGTGCGGTTGTGCCGTGCCCAAAGGCGCCTGCCACTTGGATCAGGAGGAATGGAGAGTCAAGTGGAAAGAAATGGAAACTGGGGTTATGCAGGGGGTTATATAGAGTGCTTTGCTAAAAGGCTGAGACTGAGGTACTATAAAAGTTTCTATGGATATATAGTAACAACCAACAACAGGTCCACTGGTCTACTTAATAATCACTTCAACTTAAGTTTCCTGACCAAGAAGTAGAGGTGCATCATCATCGTACGGCGGTCCCTCTGATTTATACTGATGATGGCAATAGTGGAACTCCCAAAAGAGTGCCCATCATGCTGCCAGAGGTCGATCATTAGCATGTCAGGTATGTCAAGCCTTTCTCTACAAATTGCCATGGCTACACTGGTGATGACAGAACTACTGTCATCGAGGAACAAATTCGCGCCTGCAACGGCAAGAGGCATGGCAATTTTCAGGGATGAACAACAGTATCCAAGCCTTCATAAACCAGTCACCATGTCATGGTCCATGTTCTTTTCCATTCGATTCTCCATTATAAATGTAATACCCCCAAACATCGTTAAAACCCCTTTAAAGGGACCTAGGGTTTCCATTTCATTCTCCATTATTCAAAGTAGTGCCGGGCTCCTGCCTTTGGTGCGGCAGCAATGGCTTCCTCGCCAAGAGAAACCTTGGTCCAATCATGGATAGTCACTCTTCTGGGTTGCTGTTAAGGAACTTCAACTAAGTTACCAAAAGGGGCATGTATATATATATATATAGGAAATAATAGCGTTTCCCCAACATAGTAGCTCAAATTAAGTTCCTTAACAGCAACCCAGTCTTCTGTGGATCAGTTCTTGCCGAGTTCGAGGCACATTCATCGGGTGCGTGTCCGAATACTCCAACAAATCCTGCAACAGCTGGGCACTGCAGTGCTTGCAGGCACCTCTGCGCAGGATGATTCTCTCATCCTTCTTGTATGCTGGGGAATCCCCTCCCCTGCTCTGCCTGTGTGCGCCAGTAGGAGGACCGCATACCAATGAACTCCTTTGCAAAAGAATGACAGCAGTCGCAGTATGGAACATACACTGCCGTAAACATGTTGATGTGTGAGCTAGGCCCAGCTAGGCATGGTGTCCCCAGCAGCAGCAACGGGCGTCCCAGGTGAGAACTCCATCAGAACCTTCGTGGTTTCTTTAAAAGCATGCGAGGGTATGATTTGATGCTGGCAGGGGATTCAAGCTCTGCAAAGATATCACCCAAAACAGTAGTCACAAAATCGAATCCAGCTACCCCACATCGCTTTACATCGTGCGCTTCATGCATGATAGCTGTCGGGGCGTTCATCTTTGGCCATCAGCAAGCCTATCTCACGTCCCAGCTTCAAGTATCTAGGCTGGCTGGTGCGAACGGGAGTCTGGGCAAATCCGCTGCGGTCAACTGTCACACTCTGATTTGCCATGCGTGCATAGAAACTATATCCACGAACTCTTTGAAGCTGGCTGCCCAAGTGAAGATTACTTGTGCATCTGCTGGTCATCCTCCGCCTCCGGGTTTTTGTCCCTATAGCCTTCAAGAAAACGTAACAGTACCAGGGCTAGCTGTTTTTTGTCTTTGCTGATGGGGACTGGCTGTCATGCCAAGCTCATATGCAACAATGGAGCTTCGAAAAAACAAAGAAGAAGGCTTCTTCTTAGCACCCACATGCACTTCCGCCAAGGCATGCCGCAACCGCCCTGACGCAAACGCTCCACAACAATCTTGAATCTAAGCGGACCTCTTCATCGCATAAACTGCAACGCCGAAGAGTTTACCTCCAAACCCCTCCCGAGCAGTTCTACCGGGTCGTGATTCCGATGCCAAGGAATAGCTGACCCCTATGATGCTCCCCTATATGAGCTATAGTCT